CAACATTTTGAGTATTTGTCAGGTCAAATACTCATAATTTTGTTCTTTCAATGTCACTATTCCCTTGAGTAGTTTAGTTCTCTTTCTGTGATTTTAGAGGTACAAGGGGATTGCATATTTTCTATTGTGGAAAGAAGTCTCTTGAAAGGCTGATTAGGATGTCTAACCAGATGAACGTTAAACTTCTTCTTTCTGGATCATTTTAATCATCTATGTTTCCATCATTATCAGGGAGGAAAAATAAATCCCAGAAATGGTTGGGGAACGCACTATTTTGTTGCTTTCTATTTTGTAATTATCTTTCATTTTCCTTGTTACGTATAGTTTCCTTCCAAGTAAATTTTGCCTCCTAATTTTCCTGAATGATGTTAGTCGTCAATTCCCATCTTTCAAGTGTTAATTAAATTTGTGTATTCACTGTGTATCTTTGATCATGCAGGCTAGGTGAAGCAGTTGACAGGACACTACTTAACCATCTTTTGAAGATGTTTACTGCTTTAGGCATTTACTCGGAAAGCTTTGAGAAACCATTCCTGGAGTGCACATCCGAGTTTTATGCAGCTGAGGGAATGAAATACATGCAACAATCAGATGTCCCAGATTACTTGAAGCACGTAGAGGTGCCTCTTCATATTTCACGTTCTCTTTTAGAAGTGACTGGTACTCTGTATTTGACTTTTACATGCTTTATCCTTCTAACAGGAACTTTTAATTTATCATATAATTGCATATATACGGAATATGCATGTTTATCCCTCTATGATTTTTGTGTAGGTTTGTATTAGTAACATTTTGTGTACTCTTGCAGATGAGGTTACATGAAGAAAATGAACGATGCTTTCTCTACCTAGATGCTATTACAAGAAAGCCACTTATTGCAACAGCAGAAAGGCAACTCCTTGAAAGTCATATACCAGCCATTCTTGATAAGGTGTGAATATGAATTTTTAGTTTTCCTTTGTGCTTTGAAGACCTGCTTGGATTTGCATCTTTTTAATAGTAATAATTTCTCTGATTTCTGCAGGGATTTATGACGCTGATGGATGGACATCGTATAGAGGACCTTCAGAGGATGTACTCACTATTTTCAAGGGTCAATGCTCTTGAATCACTCAGGCAGGCCCTAAGCTCGTATATTCGGAGAACTGGTCAGGCCATTGTCATGGATGAAGAGAAAGATAAGGCCATGGTCTCTAACTTGTTAGAATTCAAGGCTTCACTTGACTCTGTATTGGAAGAAAGCTTTTCCAAGAACGAGGCCTTTTGCAACACCATTAAGGACTCATTTGAGCATCTAATTAACCTCCGTCAGGTTAGCATGTTTGGCTTTTGTATGGGGAGATAATTTTTTTTTTAAACTGCATTCTTCCTTTCCTTTTCCTCAGTGAATTGTAATTTAGATCACCATATTTTAAACTTGACTGGTGGTTGGACTCTGATGTGTTTAATAGAACCGACCTGCTGAGCTGATTGCAAAGTTTCTGGATGAAAAGCTTCGTGCTGGTAATAAGGGTATTTCTGAAGAGGAATTGGAGGGTACACTTGATAAAGTTTTGGTTTTATTCAGGTTCATCCAGGTAGAGTTTTCCAATAAAAAATATTAGATTTACTTTCCCCCCAAATAACAGTTTACTTTTCTTGCCCTACAAGTTAATGCTAGAGATGTGAATAATGTTTTTGTTGATAACTAAGGGCAAAGATGTTTTTGAAGCATTCTATAAGAAGGATCTTGCTAAAAGGTTGCTTTTAGGAAAGAGTGCTTCTATTGACGCTGAGAAATCCATGATTTCTAAGGTCAGTATCTAGTTCTTCGCATCAAATGACGCGTGCTCTAAAAATTTATTAAATTATTAATTTGTTATGTTATTACGACACTGCAGCTGAAGACAGAGTGTGGCAGTCAGTTTACGAACAAACTTGAAGGGATGTTCAAGGTTTACCTCTATATCTTTTTTGTATAAGTTCGTAAAAGAAATGCATTCTATATATGTTGCCATTGGAATTTCTAGTCATGAATCTGGTAAAATTGCAGCCTTTAGGGTTTTGTAAAACATGGTCATTTCATAGCTTTTATAAGCATTAAGAATATGTTACTTGTTGGCGGATGATACCAGGAGCATTATTCCTCATGACATGAGTTGGATTAATTATATGTAATTCCAGCAAACAGTATGTATTGAACTAATGAGTAATGATCATATAATAAATTTGTCATGCCTGAGGATAGATCATACAAATAAATGTTAAAGGAATAGACGAGAAGAAAAAAGGATTCTACAAGGCAAATTATCTTTTAATTCTTGGATTACCTGCTTGTGTACTGGTTAACATAAAATCAAACAATCTAAAAATTATGAGTTTTTTGTGGTACTGGAATATATTTCTCTGTGACTCGATTTTCATGTTCAGAATATGCTTACACGCAAAATTTACTCCTAAATTTTTTGTACCTCAGTGGTTGGGCACCTGGATTAGAACTATGAGGTTGTGTTTGTAATTAAACCACCGCCTGTTCCATGGTCAATTTTGCTGTATGCGGTTTATGGAAAAGAGTTCTTACACTTGCCAAAAATACAGTCCTTGTTGTATGCGTATATGCATGCATGTTTTGTTTGACCTATGAGAAATTGCAATTTAAAACTTAATTGACTCGTATGTGGATTCTTGCAATATTAAACCAGGATATTGAATTATCGAAGGAGATAAATGAATCATTCAAGCAATCATCCCAAGCCAGGATGAAACTACCATCAGGAATTGAGATGAGTGTCCATGTCCTAACAACTGGGTAAATCATACTTAAACCATTATTTGAGTTAAACAAAAGCTGCTTAAGCATTTAGTTTATTTTCAAGGTATTTGATTCCCTTTTGGTTTTTGAGCTGGGCAGGTACTGGCCTACATATCCACCTATGGATGTTAGGCTTCCTCATGAATTGAATGTCTATCAGGTTTGTTTCAGGCGTTGTGATTGAATGTTTACTGTTATAGACACCAGGAAGCTTTTATCTAAACTTACCTAACTATTCTCTTCTACTTGGTCTAACAGGACATCTTTAAGGAGTTCTATTTGAGTAAGTACAGTGGGAGGCGACTAATGTGGCAAAATTCATTGGGTCATTGTGTGTTGAAAGCAGATTTTCCCAAAGGCAAAAAGGAGCTGGCAGTGTCCTTATTTCAGGTTTGTCTCTTGGTGTCTCATGAGCCATTTTTCTCCTGTCTTATTTTCTCTACAAGCTGACAAGTTCTTGACAATTTTTCTGGTTTGTGGCCGTTAAACCTCTAGACTGTAGTCCTGATGTTGTTCAACGATGCCCAAAAGCTTAGCTTTCTAGACATTAAGGACTCAACTGGCATAGAGGACAAGGAATTAAGGAGGACCTTGCAGTCCCTTGCATGCGGGAAAGTAAGAGTCCTGCAAAAGGTATGACAACAATATAATTGCACTCACCATTTTACTTCCGTTTTTGTGCTGGTGAAGTAAGTGACATGCTTTTTTATGTGTTGACCTCGTGTGTTGCAGTTTCCAAAAGGAAGAGACGTCGAAGACGATGATTCTTTCATTTTCAACGAAGGATTTACTGCTCCTCTCTATCGTATAAAGGTACATCTATTTTCAATTTCAAGCTATGGTGGCGAAGTAATATTTGTAAGATAAACATCGAGCTGACTTTTCTTTTCCAAATGCAGGTAAATGCAATCCAGATGAAAGAGACAGTGGAGGAGAACACAAGCACCACCGAGAGAGTATTTCAAGACCGTCAATATCAGGTTCGGGTTTGCTTCATTCTAACATTCTCTTCCTTTTTAGCTGTCCAAAAATATAAAATAAAATAACACATGGAGCTTAGTCTAATATACATATTATCACTTGATTTATCGCAGGTCGATGCTGCTATTGTTCGGATAATGAAGACGAGGAAAGTGTTGAGTCACACTCTTTTGATAACTGAACTCTTCCAACAGGTATGCATATTTGGAAAATCATGTATAACAAACACAACAGTTGTCTAAAGGGATAATATGATTTTAAGTTGCATTTGGGCATAACCATTTCTGAAAACAAGTTTCTTTCATTGAACAGCTTAAGTTTCCGATAAAACCGGCCGACTTGAAGAAAAGAATCGAGTCTCTCATCGACAGGGAGTACCTGGAGCGCGACAAGAACAACCCTCAAATATACAATTACTTGGCATAATTTACCATTTCTTTTCTTTTTGCTTTTTATAACTGATATCACCTTGTAAATGACGGTAAACATTGGCCTTCTCCATGAGACCGGAGCTGAAATCCCATGTCAGAGCCGTGTACAGTAACTTTGTAGTGTTTGTTTTGTTGCAATCGACATTGTAATTGTAAAGCATATTTAGCCTCTGCATCTGATACTTTCTTGTTATGAAATTTACACTTGAGTTACTTGAAATATGCTGCATTTCTTTTCTATTTTCGGGTTGCTTGTGTGTCCCTTTAATTCAGGTTTTGTTTTATTTTAGTTATTTAGATTCATCTATTAGTGTTATATTTTCGTATAAAACTAAAGAATGTTACATAGATTTTATTAGTTGTGGGGATAGGGACGAGAGATGCATATATTAAAATTCGGATACCATTTGTGGCGTTCTCACAAGTTATTTTTATGGTTGTTCGGTGAATCAGTCTCTCTGGAACCAGTATTTTTAAAAGAACGTGTATGATAGGATAGGATAGGATAGGATAGGATACTCTTTCTTAACGTGATGTTTTCTTCCATTCAAATAGCTAACAAAATGAGAAAATTTGTCTAAAAAATCTTTATATTCAGAATAAATTAATTCTGAATAAAAAATTGAATTAGATAGAATAGAATTGTATAATATTTAATCCAAAATAATCAAATATCAATAATTATATAGAAAATAATCCAGATGAGTAAACTTTTGGAGTTCTGTTATGTTTGATTGAATTAGATCAAAACCTTAACCAAAACCATAATGAAATTAAAAATAAAAAGCTTATCAGTATCGTAATAAATCAACAGCACCATATTCATTCATTCAAAGTTCAAACATAACAATGGCGAAATCACCTTGGACAAAGAGCAAGAAAGTAAAATCACCTATAATCAAGTACGAAAAACACACCCAATTCTCGTATTTTGAAGCGATCATTTAAGGGTTTGAGTTGAAGAAATACCGGGGGGAGACTGGGGATCTGGGTTTGTGTTGAGAGGAGCTCGGATATCCTCGTCAGGGTCGTAATCGGGGTTAAGGGATCGGTCGATGGCTTCACGGCCTCTCTCAAGGCAAGGCTTGCAAGCGATCTCGATTGCTATCCATCCTAATATCACTCCCGCTATTGCTATCACTGCCGCTGTTACTGCTGCCATTGATGATATGATTGATTGCTTTCTCTCTCGATCTACACGATGATGATCAGTTCCTTTCTTCTTCTCTCTCAAAATAATTTATTTTGGGTTTCTTTAGAAATCCTTCCTACTGTTATTTTTTTAAGTCTTCGGCCCATCACATCTTTGATCGGAGATTTCTTTGGACTTGATGGATTTTTCTTGGGCTCTTTGGGATTCCACTAGCTTTCGAGTAAATTAATTTTTAGTTCTAATTTCGAATTCCATCCCCCCACTTTACAAAAAATTGAAAAATTGGTCTATTTTCTTTAATATATTAGAATCCAACTCTTTTAACTTCACAAAAATTACGACGTTAATCAAAATGCTCATAAACATGGGAACATAAACGATTGATTTTGATTAACTATTTGCATATAAATTGCTGGACTGTTAAATTTTAGGTGAATGATTTTAACATGAAGATTTAACAGTATTATTATTTTTTTATTAACACAGCAAACAGAATAATAGATTAGCTAAACTCCAAGCAGTCCTTCTGCAGCAACAAGGAGACCTTCTCCGGTGGCTCTAAAAAAACAGTAGTTTCGATGGGAGCACCTCACCCCAGCACTGCCAACCTATCAGCAACAACATTTCGCTCCCTACGAACATGTGAAACTCTTTCAACCCAATCTCGATCGCGGAGATCATGGACAGCGGCAGTCAAAGCATTTCCAGCCAAAGCCTCCGATGTGTTGTTGAAAATGCGAGCAACTTCAATATTGTCCGTTTCAAGCTCCACAAATCTGAATCCTAACCTGCAAGCATGCATTAGAATGTTGTGGATGCCCAAAGCTCACCTATAATGACTCAGAATCGTCCTAAACTCCTTGTAAAACCAAGTACATATATTAAATTCTAGTAAATTAAAGTCGACGGACTAACTTCTCAAATTTCATAAAATAAAAGATGAAATTCATTATTACAATTTAATTTTTATTTTGATATTATTAAAAAAATGATAAAATGAGATGAAAGTAGTTTGAACTTTGAAAAATTAACAAAGTAATTGAATTTAAACGTAGTGACATTTAATTATAAAAAGGGCGTTGATAGACTTCTTTAAGAGTTGTATTATTTAGAAGAAGAAGAAATTAGGATAGACACATTAATATTTCATATATGATAGATATCATTAGTAAAATAAATAAATAACATGAAAAAATTAATTTCAAGATGAGAACATGTCCACCCGAGCAACCCTTACATCCGTTATTGGTATCACCCGTCTAAATCAGAAGACATGTCTAAAATCTAAGAGAGATTTGATAGAAATACTAGACCCATGAAAATGAGTTTAGACAAAAAAAAAATCTAGAATAGTTTATAATATGAATTGAGGTTGAGTATTATTATTTAAGGTTCTTTTATACGTTTATAATATATTTTGATTGCTTTTACTAATGCTAATTAGTTACTTTGACCAAATGAAGTAAACAGCTAGAAAAGCCGTCAATGTGCGAGATTTTGGATTAATACAAAATCTTCAACAACCTTAATATATTATTAGTTTTTTCATGAGAGAATTAAACGGCACAATTCTCTCTTAATTCAGTAATAAAGTGCAATTAATAACGTGCCTTCCACGTTGAATTAAAAGAAAAACAAGGTTTTCTCATTCTCTCAAACAAAAGATACGGATTCATTTCAATTTTGGTTTCAAAAATTAGAAAATACTAAGAGAGGATTAACCTTCACTGCAAGTCAGTCTCTACCATGAAAAAAATATTACTTTTTTTTCCCTGCTTAAGACTCTTTGTTAGGTCCCGTTTTAAAAGATACATTCATTTTCGTATTTTCCTCAATAACTCGTGCACAAATCAGAAACAAGTTGTTTTATTAATCCTACGTATAATAAATTTGATCCGTATTTGATTATTAGAATCAATTCATTTAATCTAAGATATGACATGGACTCGAATGGTTTAAGGGATAGTTGGTTGTTGGTGTATTTACGTTGATATGACACTCTTTTTTCTCTATACAGAATCAGAGAGGTTTTTCAAAGAGATCGATGTTAATGTTTTGTATGTGCAATTTGAATTAAATCATACAAACCTTTCGTTTCAAACATATACATATATGGACTCAACATGATGATTCGAATTTAATCGAAACTTGAAACAAATTAAACTAAAGTAAAATCAAACCAAATTTTAGCATGATCGATATGAATCATATCAAAATTGATCTGAATTGAAAGTAACTTAAATTTGATTTATCCAAATCTAATATAAATTAAACATTAACATAATTTTGATTTGATAATTGAATCAAAATGAAAGGATATTTTAGTGGTTCAATATTATTATACCATTAGTTAACCACCACTTTTTGTATTATCTATTTTTTAAAACTTGATTGGTCTTATACTAACTCGACCCAAATTAAACTGAAGACCCAAAAGTTTACCCGAATTGAAAATCGATCAACCCGATATTAATCTGACTCGAAAGTCGGTTGATATGATATTGACCTAACTCAAAAACTGATCAATTTGATATTGATCCAAACAAAAAACCAACAGATCTAATATCAATCTAACCTCAAAACCAATCGATGCAATATTAACCTGATCTAATATTCAACTTAACTCAATTTATCATAGATTCGAACTAAATTCGAACCAAATCTATGTTGGTCTAAATCAAACCTAAATCGAATACAGTCGCGACCAAAATAATCTAACCCGAGCACGACCCCATTTCCAATTCTAACATGTAGTAGTCGGCTTTAGGCGTGAATGTTGAATATGAGAATCTATTCCATATAGATATGTTATTTTTAAAAAAAGATAAAGACTCACGTATTTGGATAATACAATTATTACTTGTATATTTGTGTTTGGATATACATTGAATATGAATATTTGGAAGGGAAAAAAAGAGTTGGATTGGCATAAACTATTACTATAAACAAGAATCTGATTAGTTGAAGGGAAATTCTGTCCAACCATAAACTGAATATGGCCATGATTGCCATTTCAGGAAGTATACATTTAAAAAGAAACAATTCCAAGATCATCTTGGGTTTTGTTAGCAGTGCAGCAGACAAGAATCAGATTTGTTATTTCTTCAGATTCTGCCATTGATGAACAAGATCTTGTATACAGTACATTACCAATCTCAAACCATAATTAACACAGAAAGTACATTAACCAGAAGATTGAGAGAGCTATGGTTGATACATACTGTTACTATAATTTATTAAAGCTAAGCAAACAGAATCTGAGAACATGAGGGTGTCAAGTCCGAAAGCACAGGGCCATCGATAACGTGCCATTGAACACCGAAGCTCCTCTTCTTCTCGGAGCTGTCTGATTGATTCAGGTTTGAGATGTAACCCACGGCAACGTGAAGGTTGCGACCGACTATGTATATTATGTTATCGTATGCATTAACAGCAAATGGTTTGCATATCTGCTCGGGTAATGGTGGACCTCGTATTGTTTCCCAGGAATCAGTGTCTGGGTAATAAACCTTAAGCTTCATTCTTTCGAGGTCGGAAACCACAAACAGGTGACCATAAACCACCACACTTGAGCCGGTCCAGCCTTCTCTCAATCCCACAGCCATATTCTCCCAATGATTAGTCGTTGGATCGTAAACTTGACCCCTTGGAGAGACAAGGAATGGCCATAACCAGCCTTCTGTCACATGAAGCTTTCCATTGAGAACTGCAGAGTCATAAGATGCCATATGTGCACCCATGTTGGCTATCGGGTGCCAATTTCCAATCACGGGATCTAAAACCTCAGCTGAATCAAGCTCAAAAAGATCCGCAGTGTTTCCACCAGCAACATATATCATCCCATCGATCACCCCACTTGCAAAAAACGATCTCGCAGCGTTCATATTTTTCATCACAGTCCAACTGTCTTTACGAATCTCATACTTGAAGACCAAGTCGAGGGGGCAATGAACGTCAGCGACCATCCCCCCACAAACAAAGAGCGCACCCTCATGAGGAAACGAAACACAACTAATGCCATGGGGACTAATAATGTCTTCGCACGGCATCGAAGGGATGCTATGCCAAGAAAAGTTAGTAAGGTCAAGAACCCGCCATCGAATTTCCCCTGTGCATTTGTGGAAGGCAAACACAAAGAGCCAAGGGTCTTTGAAACCTAGTTTCTTCCTCAGGGTGAAAAACCGATCTTTATTACCGAACAAAAAATGCCATTGTTTGCATACGGCTTTGCAAGCGGTATGGCTATCGATCGGAAGCCTAAGGAGACAATTAAGGGATACATCATCAGGAAGGCCTGGAATTAAGGGTTCTCCTTGAAGAGACAACTCGAACTCTAACAACAATGAAGATCTAATCAGGCTTCTAAAATCAGGGACAAATTTCATCTTAGAACCCCCTGAGCTTATACAACTATCTATACTTGAACAATACTCAAAGGACCTTGTTTGAGCTTGAAATTTCCTTTTTTCTTTCCCCTTCTATTTCATCAAATGGATTTACCTAAGAATTCAACAACTTAAACATCCAAATCCCAGTAATTACACACTCAAATTCCTATGTAGCAAAGATAAGAAATTGAACACTTTTCTCTTAATATAGTACCGCAGTGGCCAATCAAGATATCAAAGTGAAAGATGATAACACTTAATCAATAAGAAAACAGGCAAAACCCATAATTTATTTTTGCTCCTATGAATAAGAAAACCAAAACCCCCCATAAAACCCTGATACTATGGTCTGCAGAGATTGATAATTCAGAAAACAGGCAAAACCCAGAATTTACTTTGGCCTACAGAACTTGAAAACAAATAAGAAAGCATTAAAAAGAGACGAGAAACTTATATGTGAAGACTTACAAAAAGGAAAGGAAATTTCTTTTCTTGAAAAGTAAGTTAGTCGGTAAGTTGCTATAAAAAAAAATGGCGATTTTGTATTGAGATTTAAAGCTGGTTTTATTATGAAAGAGGCATCTTGGCTCCCTACCAGAGGTGTTTCTGGGCCGGCCAAGATCGAAGCCCGATTACAGAAAGTTTTATAGGTTCGACCCTAACTGCGTAAACAAAATATATATATTATCAATAATAATTACAAAATATTCTAAATAAATACCTTATTATCGTCACCACTAAAATAAATAATTCCCATAACAAAAGGTCAAAATACCTATTAGGTTACTCAATTATATGGATTATATCAATGTACTGTCTTTATTATTAAATTGATCAATTTAATCCCTTTGTTATGGAGATTGGTTCAAACTAGTTTCTCCTATATAGAGATTAGTTTAAATTAATCTATCTACTATTAAATGGGTTGATTTAATCCGTATACCAATAAAATAAATCGAATAAGGCCAATCTTTTACAGAGTTATCATTTTCTATTTAGAAAACGTCTATTACTAGTTAACCTAATTTTAATGTTAATTTTTAAACATGAGACTGAATGGGAATTTGGATTTATTTCATTCTTTTTACTAGTAATTGATTAAATAGATCTGTTTAATTCAATCCAAGTTGAATTCCCCTTTTATTTAACTTATAATTGATTAATAATTTATATAATATAAAAGAATTACTTTACATAATAAAATAATGAACCAAATATTGAAGGTGAAACTAAGCCCTGCATCATCATTCAGAACCAAGTCCAAAACAATCCATTATGATTCTGTAAAACCAACCATAAGAACACAGTTACAATGTGTTCCATTGCCTTGGCCTGGTCACAATGTAAAAGAAGCAGTCTCAAAAAACAACAATTTACAATACATAAGCTATTGCTGTAATGAGCATATTTGAGGACAGTTACAATAGAGCCAATACAAGAAAAAACCATGAAGGTCAACCTAAGCGTTGTTTTGCTGCATCTATTTTCAGAACCAAAGTCCAAAACAAACCATGAAATTTCCAGTTTCTATAAATCCAACCATAAAACACAATTACTACTTTTTGAAATCGGAATTATATCATGTAAGGAAAAGGATTGATAAAAAACCACATAAATTCAGAAATGCAAGAAGAAATCTAAATTAGCTAGACCTTCTTCCTCTTCAGCTCCAACACCAATTTCTACAACAGATGTCGATTAAACAAAATTACCGAAAAGAGAAAGATCGCTTAAGTACAGATTCTCTGATTTCACATGAACATTGAGGTCATTTTTTTTTTGTCATTCCATATGTTATTAGCTAATGCATGATCTCTTGCTTCCTTCACCGGTCAACAACCTTGGCTTAGATTAGCCATGAGAGAAGCTTATCAACTAGCTAGGTGAAGCAAACGGTCCTACATACCCGACAACACGGTTAATGCCAACGAAAAACCAAGAACTCCCCCAATGCTCATATGGAACCTGAGAATCTACAGCTAAGAGAGCTTTCTCTTCTCGACATTTTTGTTGAATCGACATCTACTAGAGAAACTGATGTTGGTGCTAAAGAAAAAAAATATCCAACTGATTTAGATCTGTCCCTGCATCTCTAGACTTTTGTGGCTCTCTCTGTGATATAACAAAATAATACTAGATCAATGAAGGAATGGTTTCTGCTGCCTTCCCAATCCTGCATATCGGAAACTCATACACTACTAATATATCTACAAAGTCAATTTATACTAAATTTTATGTTCAATTTTTAGATAAACTATTTCTCTCCTTTTATTTAATAAAAATATTATTTATATCAACAAATATTTAATATAAGAAAAAATAATAAAAAGGTAACCAAAATCTGCCATATTTAATATTAGTAATAAAATGGTAAAAAAGGTAGCCGAAATCTGCCATATTTAATATTGGTAATAAACTAGTAAAAAAGGTAACCAAAATCTGCCGTAGTTAATATTAGTAATAAAACGGTAAAAAAGGTAACCAAAATCTGCCATATTTAATATTAGTCATAAAAAAGGTAAGGAATCCAACTCAGCCAAAAACAGACAAAGAATAATAACTATGGTGATGATGCAATGCACCATATGATATATTGCAGTTACATAATACTTTAAAATAATTATATTTACGAAATTCACAAACCGACTTTCCTAAGTGGTTAAAGGAATTAATTCGAGTACCAGTAACTGTAAAGGTGATTGAACGTTCATTATCAAATGGTTAAAAGTAATTAGAACATATACTACTTTGTAATCACCTTTAGCTTAATAAAAAAATATATATGTACGAAATTTTAATTTTAAACTAAGTATATATATATATATATATCAAATTTAATATGTTAGATAAATACAATTTATCTACATATACAATACATAAACATAAAATGATACTGGATTGATAATGATTTGAAAAAAATTGAATCATATCAAAATAAAATTTTATGTATGTAATTATACAACATCCCACTGCTAAGCAGTTTCTTTAGTTTGTAACCAAAAAAAATTATACAACATCAAAATTTATTTATTACTCACACATTATACCAAAGTTTTTGTATAAATAGTTTTGATATAACCCTTAATGTAAAAGGCTACAAGTACAATCACAATGAATATGCATCCAAATCATATGATTATAAAAGCACTAATGGATGTAACTTAGAGTAACTTTAGAAGGGAGTCATACATAACAAAGATTAAAATCAAAACAAACACTTCAGCATCTCAATCTAACATGTTCCATGGTTTGGCATGACCGCAGTTCAGCATCTTTAATGACCATACTCGAGAACAGTTAAAATAGAGCCAATAGGAGGGGGAAATGCAGGTGACAATTCCAAATATTGAAGGTTAACCTAAGCATTGTTTCCCTGCATCTATTTTCAGAACCAAAGTCCAAAACAAACCACGAAATTTCCAGTTTCTAATGATTCTATGAATCCAACCATAAGAACACAGTTACCACTTTTCGAAATCGGAATTATGTCAAGCAAGGGAAAAGATTAATCAAACACCAGTCCACAAGAGATTTCATATCAACTAACTTCATATAAAATAAGTTAAAAACAAAGTGAACAACTGACCGTGCACTTTGTAGATATATCAACAGTCAGTGCATAGCAACATTAAAACTTGAATCACCAACATGAGTTTCCAAAGCACGCTTTGCCAGGGATGGGGAAGGTAACAGAGACCATTCCCTTATTGATCTAAATATCATAGAATGAACCACATAGGTCTACTAGAGCTGCAGAGACGGATCTAAATTAGCTGGACATTCTTCCTCTTCAGTACCGACATCAGTTTTTGCAGCGGATGTCAATTCAACAAAATTGTCGAGAAGAGGAAGCTCTCTTAGCTGAAGACTCTCTGGCTCCACCTGAACATCATGGGGAATTCTTGTTTCTTCGTTGGCATTCAAAGTGTTGCCAGCTATGCTGGACCTCTTGCTTCTTTTGCCAGTTGACAAGCTTCTCTCAGATTGACCACCTTTTTCCACACCGGAGAATGGAGGATGACCTGGCAAAAGTTACAAACAAGTGACCAAGGTCAGTATTTGTTATAGCCAAGGTGGGATTTAGAAACTTACCAAGCGTATAACCTTGAGTTCTCTTCAAGGCATCTCGAGAGGTTGGTAGCAGACCATCCTGGATAATCTGGAATTCACCGGTATTAAACTGACAAACGCCATTTGGGACCAAATATGACGAAGAACCTGTAGGAAGGCCAGTGGTTACAACACTACCAGATGGAACAAATACTGCAGAAGACATGGCTGCACTGGCACCAGCAGGAACAAATGCTCTCGGAGCCAAATTGTTACAGGGTAAAGCTAAAACAAAAGAAGACATGAAAATCTGAGTTTGAGGAAATCGGAGATTACCGCCGGTGGATCTCTTCCTGCCAGCCTGGTTTGCTTTATTCGAGCGGAACAATGTACAGAAATCAATTGTAGGCAGAGCTCGAGCGTTTGAAGTAGGGCTGTTTGCACCAGCCAAGTTCTGCTGAATGTTCAGTGGGGGAACAGGATGGTTTCTATTTACATTGATGAACTTACTAGGTTGGCCAGGAAAATTCAAGTCCACTGATGATCCGTTCTCCTGATGAACCCTAAGATGGCCAATTAGAGCTCGATGGTTTTCAAATACTTTGTTGCAATAGAAACATTTTTTACCATCTGCATCTTCGCTGCCCGAAAGGAAATTCATGATAGAGTCTAAGAAAGAAACACAAAACTAAGCACCTATCAAGAAGAGAGAGACTAGAAAACTATTGTAACCCTTGCAATGAGGACGACCATTCCTACCGTTTTATAGGCCTTCAAGGTGAAGAAAGAAGTCATAGTGGTTAACACCAATTGATGTAAACGAAAATTATAATAAAAGCCATTTAGGAAAGTTAAACCATAGAGGGCATAAATGGAAAATAAAGTTGCCATAGGCAAGATCCAGAATAAAAAAAACTCCGCCTTGTCCACAATAACACATATTTAGGGTATAGTAATAAATGGCAATCTAGAGAATCAAAATCTTGCTAAACAAATGTCAAAACAACACGTAGAAAGGACATCAACAACCACAAGGTCAAGAAACAATTTGGCACCTACTATTGAGAGTCAGTTAAGGGGTAACTTTGGAACATCAAGTTTTTCTATGTGGCCCCGACTTTCATATCTGTGTCCAATTCGTGCTCGTGCTCAACAGATATATGTTCAGTTTTTCTTTATTCTTTTCTTGATATTTAGAAAGACCTAGTAAAAAAAAGACGTTGTCCATTTAAGGTATCTGATGTATCTAGCATTACTAAATTAGAGGAAACCAAAGAGCTAGGATAATATAAGTCACATTAACTACATATTATCTAACCATACCCAACGGCTTCAGCATTATCCACTCTAGAATTAAAAAAAATTAAACTAGTGATTTGACGCTCTATTTAAGTGTAAAAAGTGAGTGGATTTTGCAAAGAATAAAGAAATGTCACAAACACCTAACTGAATCATAAAGTTAAGTAGAGCCATTCATGAGAGAGAGAAAAAAGAATGCAATAGCACATAAGACTTGATTTTAAATTTCCGGTCCATACCAAATGCATCCACGAGAAGCCCATGAGAAATAAAAAAACCACTTAACATGTTATTTTAAGAAAACCCCATATTACTTGATCCCATTCAAGAGAGAGAAGTAAAGAATGATCCCATTAAAGAAAGAGAAGTAAAGAATGCACATCAGTCAACTCCTCAAGTACACACTGCCAAACTGAGATTCTTATAAATTTTCTTTCCCAATTCTTGTGAAGGTCCTTGTTCTGAAAAAAGTGAAGAATCAGACTATCCTTCTTAAACGTATTTTACGAAAATCCAAGAGTAGGAATGGAGAACATCCCATGTATAAACTCCTCTAACAATATTTTAATTAATACAAGTCAATCAAACCTAAACAAGGAATAAACATAAAGTAGAGAGTTTCGTGATTCTTTCTCAAGTTCTACCATGAATTTGCATTTGGCTAGAGAATATGCAAAGAAGCATGCAAATACTAAAACATGCTTCTATTGCAACAAACATCTGGAGAATGGGTCATTAAGGGACTTGAATTTCCCTAGTTGTTCTAGTAATTCCATCAACATCAACTAGAACCCTCTTGTACCCCTACCAAACAAATAACAGAAGATGTCCTTGTACCAATATTAGCATATCTTTTTTCACAAATGGCTGCTACTGACACAAATGACCAAAAATAAATATCAACAAATCAAAACTTCCTCGTTTTTGTGCAATAACCACTTAGATACATCTATAATCCCGTGACAGATAAATTGAAGTGTTAGAGAATGTTTTCCTCCACGAGAAACTATGCATTTCTAATGGATATTTATTGTACAAGAGATGTTGTAATCTACACTGGTGCTTGCATTAATAATAAGTAAACTATTTTAAGACATAAATTATAACAGCTAAGCCACATCTTATTTGAATTTGTGCAAACCACCATAAGCTGATGCAACATCTGGTTAAAAGGATGTCGTTTCTCCAAAAACGTTATAGGCACAAACCTGAAGGATCCTAACTATAAAGCACCAAACATTGATTCATTCACCCCCATGCCCTAATCACTAGTCTGTTTTTTTTTTTTTGATAGCTAATCACTAGTCTGTTAAATATTCACAAGTCTTCAATAACTACAACTCTATGGTCTATCTTATTGAATGTGGAGGATATCATATATATTAGCTTTTTCTGCTGTCCCTAGTCCTAGAAGACCATGTATCTGTCCAGCATTGCATCACATGTAACCAGCTAGCACACGTAATCTGAATCTGTTATAACAAAAGGGAAAAGCAATGAAGCAAATGCACGATAAAAGGAAAGTGTTGGAAGGAACCAATTGTTAAAATAGATAAACGATAAGCAAAATAGGCAAAACAAAATTTTAAGATATTCATTTAAGAGTAAAGTTAAATTGCTATAGTGTCAATTGTAACTTACTTACCATAATAAGGATGTCCTCTGCATTAGAATTCCCATTAAAAGAAGAACCCACACACAATTGACCATAGCAAGTACCTGCAATTATTAAAATTACTTATCACAATGATAAAGATAGAATTAGAATTTCAGCAAGGAAATAGCTAGACTTGTCCGAAAAAGAAAACAATAAAAGAACTTGAAACTTGCATTCTATAGGAAGGCACAAACCGTGTATCATAATTCATAAATGTTTTATAGCTTATTACCAGACATAATTATCTACAAGAAATTCAGAAGTTATCTTCAACAACTCAACAAATCATAATAAGATAAGTTGAATACAAATTACACTATCTAATTAGCAAATTGTAGGCTATTTTTTCAGCATAACTTCAAGACATAGATGATTCCCCATTGAACAAAAGTTTGCCATGAGGACTAATGGAAACTGAAACCCCGTTATTCACTTTCCCGGAAAAGAACACCCCCCCCCCTTCTTTATTTTTTGCTTTCATAAATGCACAAATAGAATTCTAGAGCTTTGTCTTGCTAAATTGATAGATTCCCATTTACAGATCATTAACTCGCAATTCCCACTAATAGAAACAATATATGATAATAACTAAACAAAATGAAAGAACATAATAATAAAATAAATGATCGAAAATTTTCCCTGCACCTTCATATTCCCCAAATAGATGAACAAAACAACGAAATAAAGCTTCTTACCAGAGGAAATTTCTTCAAGAGACGACATGGATATTCCTTATTTTCAAAGGGAACGAATTGCCCAGAGCTGTACAGCGCTGATGAGTGATCGATGGGGAGGGAAAAAAGCTGCAGAAACTCAAACCACCGAGCAAAACAATTTCCTTTTCGTTCTTCTACATTTTCTTCGAGGCCGTCATAGCCGATGAGAGCATAAAATTTTCAATGTATATAAATGGGCTTCTTTCAATCTGAGACTACAATCTCACCATTAACACAATTTCAAAGCAAGTTATAAGTTTTGCAAGCCTAACCCATATCCATAAAACATAAAGCTTGGGGAAGTATTACCTTTCTTTCTCTACTTGATCTTAACACATCTTCACACGTCATCAAATATGTGCACATTTTAAAAGAAAATACATCCATTTTTATATTAAATAAATACAATTATTTTTTCATTAAACTGAAATGATTACAGTATATATTCTAAAATTCTAATTTTTTTATAATAAATGCTCAAATATTTTACAAACGTTAGTGCACGGCTCGTGACATCTAAAACTAATAATAATTTTTAATCACTGAATTAGTTTGATTCACGCAAATAAATACAATTATTTACATACATAATACTTGAAAAGTAAAATGATGTTATATAGATATTAGACTTGTGATTTATGAAGATTTAATCAATTCAAAAATTTTATTATATCATTAGACATAAATTAGAATTTATGTATCATATTGTACATCATGTCAAAGTTTATATAAAGTTTTGATACTCTGTTTCTTTATGAAAAAGGATACAACAACAACAAATGCACATCTACATCGCATTAGAACAAATAATTACAAAAAACATTAGTGAAACTAAGTTAAAACTAAAATAACTCTAGACAACACTCACAAACACATGATTTAAGCATCGAATTTGGGAATTTGAGTAACAAGGTCTCAACCTTTGGAGGAATTGCCAATGTGAATAAGGTGTTCGGGAAATAAACATAGAAAAATATTTTTGTTGTGATACAATATTTCCAATGGATGTATAAATCCATATCCATAGACACATTTTTGTTGTATTTTTATAGTATAAGATAAACACAATTTTCAACAATATCAATCTGAACCAAACCCTAAAACCATATACAAAGCATCTCAATCTAACACCGCCATGGCCTGATCACAGTGTAAAAGAAGTATTCTCCAAAAACAGACAAAAATTCCAATACGTAAGCCGTTTTTCTAATGACCATACTCCATAACAGTTACCATAGAGACCAAAAAGAAGAAGAGAAAAACTGTAGGTGACAATGGCTAATATTGAACGTCAACCGAAGCATTGTTTGCCTGCATCTACTTTCAGAGCCAAGTCCAAAACAATCCTTGAATTTCCCTGTAACTTATGTCTATATGATTCTGTAAAACCAACCATAAGAAGACAGTTACAAGTTTTCGAACTCGATAGAGACTAGGCAAACACCACAGTCCACAAGAGAGTTCATAATAAGTAACTTCTTATAACAAAGGTTTAAAACAAACTGAACATTCACTTTGTAGATCAGTGCACAGCAACATTAAAAGTTAAAGCATCAAGGCGAGTTTCTGAAGCACACTTTGTCGAGGGTGGTGAAGGCAACATGACTCTAAAGATGCAGTGACAGATCTAAATCATCAGGTCCTTCTTCCTCTTCAGCACCAACACCAGTTCCTGAAGCAGATGTCGATTCAAAAAATTGACGAGATGAAGCTCTCTTGGCTGCAGATCCTCCAGTTCCTCATCAACATCGAGGGAAATTCTTGGGTATTCTTCAGCATTCACTAGGTTGCCAAATACAGAGGAACTCTCGCTTCCTTCGCCAGTCGACAAGCTTCTCTCAGATTGGCCAACATTTTCGTGCCTGAGAATGGAGAAAGACCTGGTGAAAGGTACAACAAGCAACCAAAGTCAGGATTGTTACAGAAAAGATGAGATTTGGGAGCTTACCAAGATTATAACCTTGAGTTATCTCCAAGGCATATCGAGAGGTTGGTGACAGACCATCCTGGCTAATCTGAAATTCATCAGTATTAAACTGATAAATTCCATTTGACCAATATATGACCAAGAATCTGAAGCAAGGCCAATGGTTACAACACTTCCAAATGGGACATATACAGCAGAAGAACTGGCTGCACTGGCATCGGCAGGAACAAATGCTCTCAAAGTCAAACTGTTACTGGATGAAGCTACAGCATTCTGGGTTTGAGGGACTCTGGAATTGCCACCAGTTGGTCTGTTCCTGCCAGCCTGGTCTGCTTCATTCGAGCGGAACTTTGTACTGTAGTCGATTGGAGGTGGAGCTTGAGAAGTTGGAATCGGGTTGTTCGCACCAGCCGAGTTCTGTGGGCTGTTCGGTAGGGAAACATGAGGGTTCTATTTATGTCAACAGAATCACTAGGACGACTGGGAAACTTTGAACCCCTCAAAGATGGGTCATCCTGATGAGTCCTAAGATGGAAACCCAAGATCTATAGTTGTTTAACTCTTTATAGCAATAGAAGCATGTTTTACTACTTACATGCTTCTCTGCATCTTCACTACCCGAACAAAAATTCATTGTAGAGCCTGACAAAGACAGAAAACTCAGCTACTTTCAAGAAGAGAGAGAGAGAGACTAGAAAACTAATGTAGACCTTGCAATGAGGACGACAGTCTTATACTTCGTTTTATAGGCCTTCAAGGCGAAGAAAGAAGTCATAGTGGTTAACAACAATTGATGTAAACGGGCAATGACAAAAAAGCCATTTGGGAAAGTTAAACCATAGAGGCATGAATGGAAAATAAAGTTGCCACAGGCGAGATTCTCGCTAAAAAAAGTTAAAGTCCGCCTTGTCCACAATAAAACACATTTAGGGTATAATCATAAATGGTAACCCAGAGAATCAAAATCCTGCTAAATAAATGTCAAAACACCACGTAGAAAGGACACCGACTACCACAAGGTCAAGAAACAATTGGGCACCTAATATCGAGAGTCAGCTAAGGGGTAACTTTGGAACATCAAGTAAAACATAAATGCTCTCAATGTCATATCTATATGGCCCCAAATTTAATATCAGTGTCCAATTTGTGCTCTTCAACAAATATATCTCCAGTTTTTCGTTATTCTTGATATTTAGGAAAGACCTAGTAACAAAAGGCCATTGTCCATTTAAGTTATCTGATATGTCCAACATTATTAAGTTAGAGGAAACCCAGGAGCAAGGATAATACATGTCACTATAACTACATATTGATAATCTAACCATACCCAACAACTTCAACATTATCCGCTTTAGAAATTGAAAATTTTAGACTAGTGATTTCATGCTCAATTTTTTTTTTTTGATAAGATTTGAAGGCCTCATTAAAAACCTCCTTCTTGATTAATGGAGCTTGTATAGAAGCTTCTTAATCATCTGAAGGAGGAAAAGAGTGCCTTATAATTTCATTATAGAAAATAGAATTACAACCTTGGAACAACTATTCCAAAAAACCCTTACAAACAATACAGGAGCCAGAAAACCAAACTAAAGAAGCCAACAACATAAAAATCAACCTATACCAGCCTTTGCTAAACCATCAGCATCCATATTCGCTGTCCTTGCAACCCATCTAACAACCCCCGAAAGTTCTAAGACTATCAACAATATCTCTAACAATAAAACCATATACAATTGGACATGAGTCAACATTATTTATCCAGACTACTGCAACCCTGCAATCACTCTCAACGATCAGCCTATCTTTAACCCTCCCTTGAAAAGAGGCAAAGAAAGAAATACCCCTTTGAATAGCTTTAAGTTCCTTCAATGTTGGAGGTCCTGAACCAGCAGGCTCCTGAAAAGAACCTAGGATTGCACCAGATTGATCCCTCATAAGACCTCCAAGACTTGATTCCTTCCAATCACTGCTAGTGGCTGCATCCACATTTACCTTGACGAAACCCATAGGGGGAGGTAACCAAGGGATTATAGAAGACTTCAAGAAATTGTAGGACGAATAGGAATCTCCTATAGAAGGATCATAAATTAAAGAGTCCTTAGTAATAGAAACATCCTTATTCTTTGCTAGAAACCAAGAGGCCAGCCTAACTCTTGTTAAGAAAAATAATTCAGACTGATCAAGCTTTACCCCTTCAAAAAAATAAAATTTCTGATTTTCCAGATTGACCAAATAACAACCCCAGGAATGAAAGTCCTTATTACAGAATTGGATTTCAACTCATCCCAAGCTAGAAGAAAACTTTTTGCTTCTGCAGGAAACACAGAACTAAACCTCCAAAAATTTAGAAATTTGTTCCACAAAGACCACGCAACCGAACAAGAAAAGAATAGATGCGATGAAGTTTCTTCAACCATTCTACAAAGAGGGCATAACTCATCCTCAATACCTTGAACACCTCTTTTAACCAATTCGGTTTTAACAGCAATTTTGTGAAGCACAATTTGCCACACTAATGTTTCAACTCTAGGGGGACCAATCCTCTCCAAACAATTTTATTCCAGAAATGAACATCTTCTGAACCTGATCCACACCTCTCAACACAAGAACCGACTTTATAAACACCATCCCCACTACCTTTCCAAATCAAACCATCACTAGAATCAAGAGATAGAGAAAAAGAAGAAATGATGCTCACCAAATTACACCATTGTTCAAGCTCCCAATCATTTAAATTTCTTCGAACTTGAACATCCCAAATCCAACCCGAAGAAAGAAATTCCCCAAACTCACAATCAAAATCGAGAGCAAGTTAGTTTGGCAGAGAAGAGATGTCACAAGCATCTAACTAAATCATAAAATTAAGTACTACATAGGGTTAGTCTATTATTATTACTATCATAATCATCATCATTTCTCAAGTGTCGCAATGACTCCTATATTGAGAGCCATCAAGAGAGAAACAAATAATGCATCCACGAGAAGCCCGTGAGAAACACAAAAATCACTTAACACGTATTTTAGGAAAATCCCCCATAGTACTCAATCCCATTCGATATAGAGAATTGAAGAATACACAACAATCAACTCCTCAAATACAAATTGCCAAATTGAGATTCTTATAAAATTTTCTTTTGCAATTTTTTAAAAGTCCTTCTCCAGCAAAAAAGTGAAGAATTGCACTATCCTTCTTAACACGGTATTTTAGGAAAATCCTAAAGTAGGAAAGGAGAATATCCCAAGTATAAACTCTTCTAACAATATTTTAACCGACACTAGTCAGTCAAACCTAAACAAGCAATAAACATAAAGTAGTGAGTTTGATGTTTCTTTCTCAAGTTCTACCATGAATTTCCGTTTGGGTAGAGAAGATGCAGATAAACTTGCAGATAATAAAACACACTTCTACACCAGTAAAGAATTTGACAACTATAGAGCTCAAGGTGGGCCACCTTAGGATTCATCAAGAGAAGGTTCATTGAGGTCCTTGAATTTTCCTGGTCGTTCTAGGAATTCCATTGAAACTAACAAGAATCCCCCTGCATCCCTACCAGACAGCCAACAGAAGATGTCCTTGTATCAATAACAAATCTCTTTCACGAATGGCTGCTAGCAACACAGAAATGCCCGGAAATAAATATTAGCAAAACAAAGCTTCCTCATTTTTGTGCAATAACCACTTAGATACATATACAAATCCCATGACAAATAAATTGAAACTGCAGAGGGTGTTTTACTCAAAGGATAAACTCCGTATGTTTATTACTCAAAAGGAATTTCAAATTCACTGCTAAATAGGCATCCAACATCGTAAGAAAAATAAATGATCGAAGATCTTACCTGCACCTTCATGTTCTCCTAAACGATGAACAAAACAAAGAAAAAAAGCTTCCTACCAGAGGAAATTTCTGCAAGAGACAACATGGGTATTCCTTATTTTCAAAGGAAACGAATTTCCCAGAGCTGTACAGTGTGATCGATGGGGGAGAAATAAAAAAGCTGCAGAAAATCAAACCACCGAGCAAAACAATTTCCGCTTCTTTCTTCTACATTTTCTTCGAGGCCGTCGAAGCCGATGAGAACATAAACATTATTCAATATTGGTAGATAAATGGGCTTCTTTCAAATTGAGCCTACAATCTCACCATTCAAAGCAAGTTTGGGTCTATAAGTTTTGCAAACCAAACCCATATCCGTAAAACTTAAAGCTTGGGGGAAAATATTACCTTTCTTTTTCTATTCGTGATCTCAGCCCATCTTCACATGCCATGAAATTAATTCAAAATTTTTAAGAAAAAGGAAGACGAGTTATTTCGATATGGACATTAAGTAGAATCAATTTATCTTTTTTTTAAATTTTTTTAATAGACTAATATCACTCTGTTGACGTGTCATTGAACTGATTCAATAATATTTTGTCTGATACAATATCAAAATCATATAATAATTAATATTTTTTGATTTTAGAATGAAACTACAATTCATCAACATATTTTTCAATTTTTAGAGTATGAAGTTAAAAGCTTTCAATTTATTCGGAAAATACACTCTCAGTTAACACCTCTTATCTTTCTTAGATTGTGAATTCAATACTCATTCTTATCAAAATTCGATTTCCTCTCTCCCAAACTTTCCTCTCTCCTCTCTCTATTCTCTCTCAAATTTAGACTATCGAATTTGAATTCAAATCTTAATTGTGTCTTTAACAATCGTAAATCACGACCCTCCACTTAAATCATAAAAGATGAATCCCCTTGCAGGATCACAACCCCTATCTATATTATTAATCAACAACAAATTTAATAAACTAAATTAAGCTGAATTTTATTTCAAAATATCGAAGATTATTTTCTTTAATCTTTCTATTTATCACATACCTAAAATTTATTTACACGACAAGAACTGAAAAATAAAAAATAAAACAGAACTTTAGATTTGGTTGAAACATAAGGGGGGAGTTGTCAAGTGCAATGTCACCAAACATGATATAACAATATATATTCTTCCGTTGTAATAGTTAAAATCCAATTGACTTTTAATTTTGGTTCTTGTAAGCCATTTACTTTGATGATGACCCCCACATAAAATTTAGGCACTTGCAATGAACCATGTACCTTGTCCATGGTAGTGCAATTTTATTTTCCCCATTGTATCTCCATTTAGTCAATTTCTCTTATATAGAAACAACATTTGGTATTAAATTTTATCTTATTTATATATTATTGTCTAATCAACTCGTGATATAATTTCAATTAAAGATTTTAGCAAAAAAAATATTTTAACATTAATTTAATTGCCAATTTTCATTAATCTTTAAGAATTGATATTAAGTGAGAATATATATTATATTTATATACAATAGAAAAACTATTTAATTTGGAGATGTTTCAATTTACATAGAAAGTAGAATCAAAATTTGGCGTTGACGCAAGTATAGTCTCCATATATGGTTTTTCAACGTGCCATCACTATCTAGGGTTAGCAATTTTCTTAGGATTACCTTATTGAAAGAAATTATTATTATTTTAATTAAAAAAATCATTTGATCTTTATGAAGAATAAGATTGAAAGAGAAAGTCATATGTGGGAGAGAGCCATCTTGTTATTTTGTTTAGATTTAAGTGGTCGATTAATTGCATTTGCATTTTGTCTATGACTGCATGCATGGTACATGCAACCCTATTTGTACCGTAAATAAGACAAGATATATCGTAAGTTATTTGAGTTCAATTTGATCAAAGTTTGGTCAATATTTGAAATGAATAAATTCGCCTCAAGATTGAACTTGACTCGAGTTCTTTGCAAGTTGAACGACTACTTGATATACGACTCGAAAAACTCGTAAACAATTCGAAAAAAAATTATATATTAAATTTTAATTTTTTAAATATTCATATATTCATATATTTTTGTTTTTAAAATACAATATAAGATTTTCATGTACTTAAGGTTTAGGTTAAGTTTGAGCTCAAGTTGATCTTGATAATTTTTAGCTCATGAGCTTTTGAGTCGAACTTATCTTTGAACTTTTCGAGTTGAGTCGAGTTCGACTTGTTTACAGCCCTAACCCTAACACAATCGATTGCAATCTTAACATTTGTGTTTAAATTCCGACATTGTAAATGAAACAAACTGAGTTGAGAGGGTTATTTATATAATGAATTTATATCATATATCGAATTTGAATTAGTCAACCAATAAACTAAATACGAACAATTATAAAAAAATCTTTTGATTAATTCGAATCATTCTATTTAAACAAGAAGATCAGACTCCACTTTTGTGCAATGTAAAAAGGTTATGCGTTTCCCAAATGCAATTAGAACTAAAGAAAACCTGGTTCATGCATCAGGACAATGAAAACATCTCCTAGGATACTTCATCCCCAAG